TGCACACGTCAGATGTCGATTCAATCACCTCAACGATGCGAAGCAGTAGAATGCATGACGGATTTCCAAAAGATTGATAAAAACGGACGCTTTGTTTTTTTCCGTTTACTTATTTCCTCGTATAGAATTATAATCCACGGATGACCTCATATGAGGGATCCCAAGCCGGTTAGTCGCCAGGCTACGTGGCCCTTCCCCAGGTGGCGGATAGGGGGTTAATCGTGGACCAGATGCGAACTCTGCTTCCCCGAGATGCAGGTGGATCCAGGGGATTAACTCCTTGTTTATGCTGCCTGATTTGGCACATACTTTCTGTATTTACGAGACGTATCCATACACGCGTGTGTGGGTGCGTTCTAGTCTATGCAGATTGTATTCTCTTAGTCAGTTCTCCTTCTAGTCAAAAACCTGCGATCAAGTGACAGCGAAGTATATGGGAGGCGGTTAAGAGTCGTCTCCAACAAATAAGCTCCATGTCCACTCTGGGAGAGACTACAAAGCTACCCGTGAGTAAACCCAGCCCTTACAAACAGAACTTAGCAAACAATACGTGGGTATCAAAAGCTAAGCACAGTAAAATAAACGGTCCTCATTCCCTTGACTCCGGAAGAGTCCCTGACATGGTAGCGATAGGACGAGTAGGAGAGACTGCTAAAATCTCAACGCCATTCTAGGTTGCCTAAATCGCAAGGAACCAGAGTGATGATCTGTGCCTACTATCTACGCCAACTTTCACCTGAGCCCTCGATGGTGGACAAGATCATGCAGGCAAGAAAGATTAGGTACGTCATCGGGCTGCCCGAGACGGGAAAACGACGTCCATTCAACGCCGCCTATGATACCTGAGCGGAACGGTTCCTCGGAATATACGACAGCAAAGGAGTTCAGCGCCGGGGTTTTCGTCAACACGAGGTTGGTCATGAACATCGATTCGTTTGAACAACTAACAACCTAAATCGGACGTTTACGATTGAACGGATATGGATGAATACCGGGTTTGCAAACCTTTTTCGCTTCAACACCTGCATTAAACTATGAGAAAAAGAAAATTGGAGGCTGTATATAGACTTGAAAATCTATGGAGAAGATTATGCATTCTCTAGGATTGGCATTGGGGATTTTAACGCTAATGTTGCAGCCAAAAAAACGTCTGAAGAACGTCACATTGGAACACTCATGGGTTAGAATCTGGCCATATTCAGCTCACTAATCAGCTGTTGGAAAGATGCCGTTCTTGATAACATCGATGAAAAATGCTACCACCTCATTCAACATCTTTGCGATAGCGTTGTGAAAGCTGAGAGTTTGAAAGTCACCAAGAGACGTCTGTCTTCAGAAACACTCGAGCTGATACGCCGGCGTGGAATCGCACGAGCTGCAGGTAACCGCGAACTAACGTTCGAGCTTGCAAAACAATGCAGGCAGGCGATAAAAGATCTTAAAGAGAGAAGAGCAACAGTAATGGTCGAAGCTGTAATGCAAGGTTCCTGCTCATTGAAAGACTAGAAGGATTGTACTTTTGTTCAAGAAAGTGACGTCCGCGATAGCGGCAACTACCGCACAATTTGCTTACCGTCTATTGTCTAGAAACTTTCCAGTTGTGGCATCTTAAACACGATTGACAGAACACTGGATGAAGGACAGCCATGTGAGCAAGCAGCGTTTCGTAAAGCATTCAGAAGGATCACACCTACAGAATAACGTGACTCAATAAAGATCGCGAGACTACAAGAGACCGTTTCGTTTCACTTTTATCGATTTGAAGAAAGTTTTTGATTCAGATGAGACAGAAACAGTCACAGAAACCTTGGACAGTCAAGGATTCCCTATTCAGTTTATAAAAATTCTTCATGAACTGTGTAAAATTTGACAACCAAGATATCACCATTCTATAGCGATATTAACATTCACGTCAAAACAGGGCTTAGGTAAGGCGACACCACCTCGCCAAAATTATTTTCCGCCATCCTCGAGAACGTCATGTGAACATTGGAATGGACAAACATGGGCGCAGGAATCGATGGTAGGCATTGACACCATCTTCACTTTGCTGGTGACATCGTTCATACAACACCTAACATTATGCAATTGGAACGAATGCTTGCCGACGTTGATAAAGGATGTAAATAGATTGCACTTCGATTAAATCTCTCAAAAACGATGTTCATGAGAAACGTTTGGTTAAGTACGCATCATTTACGTTCGACGAAATGAATATTTTCGAATGCTCTAACTGCGTCTAAGTCAGGAAATCAACATGATGAATGACTTAGCTACAAAATTGATCAGAAGGAAACGAGCGGCTGGAGGAGCCTTCAAGAGCATTGAGGATGTGTTGAAGAGAGCAAGGAACACCCAACTCCGTGCGCGCCTTTTCGATTCCAATATACTTCCTGCGTTAACGAACGCATGAAAAAGTCGTTGCGTAAGTAGCGTAAGTGAGAGGTCACTTAGTGTTATAGAGCGCAGTTGGAAGGACAATGCTAGGACAATCTCCTAGCACGCAAGTGAAAGAGGAGATTCCAACTTTCAAACCTACATCAGCGATCAAATATCGAAGACACCGTTCTATATACCAAACTGTCGAAAATAAGGTGGGCCGGACACCTCATGCATTTGAGCGGCAATCGATGGACAAGAACAGTTAGTGACTGGATTCTTCGGGATCTTAAACGTACTTCATGATGACCACCAATCTGGTGGACAGAGTTTTTCATGAAAATCCTAGAAGAAAGATGTGGAGGAAAAGCATTCCCTTGAGAGAGCAGAACCCACTGGGATACTCTAACATGCGACAGTAAAAATTGAAGACTTAACTGGCTCTCGCTCGAGTCATTCGACGATCAATGAGATGACATGCGATACAGAGGATACTGCTGCATTTTCTGAAAACCATGTCATTTGGGTGAAAGAGACGAAATGTACAGAGAAGACATCAACCGGAAACACAATTAGCCCAAAAATCCCCACGCCCAAAGTGTTCGACGACCTTCTGGATGGTGGATGCGGCGAAAACAATCGGATATAGTAAGTGCTGGAATCCGCACTGTACGTGATGTGAAGTCATGTAAATAGATAAATATAACTGCTTTCTTTTATAGCAATTTTGCTGCAAGTGCGGATGCGAACCAAGGTGAACTTGACCACAAATAGATCTTCCAGTTCCCAGAATCGTCTTTCCATTAATCTCGGCAATGGATTACAAACGCGTTGTTTTCTTGCTAAGCAATCGCGAGGTTGTTATACAACATACGTTTACTTTCATGTAAAACACGCAATACAACACAACAATAGCTGAAGTTTCAGCAGTATCGCCTTCTTCAGCGGCTGGAAAGGTATATTGATATAATTTACTGCGCCAAACGTTTCTATAACACATATAGAAAGATGGAGATCTGAGTGATAATCATATGATCAACAGCTTCTCGAAAAACGCACCATTTTTTACCTGACCCCGTCGGCATCAATATTGGTGTCGTGTAGTGCAGTAATCAACCATGTCCGACTTTAATCAGCTGTTCTAATCCATCTCACTGGACGCCACGTTGAAAGCGGTGAGTTTTTCGAGAAGCTGTTGATCATGTGATTGTCATAGGGCTTTCCGTCTCTTTGTATGTGTTATCGAAGCGTTTGGCCTGGTAAATTGCACATCAGTGTACCCTTCCAGGCCCTGAAGAAGGCGATACTGCCGAAACGTCAGCTACTGTTGTATTGTATGGTTTTGTGTGGAAGTAAATGTGTGCTGTGTAACAAATTCGCCATTTCTGAACAAGAAAACAAAGATCTTTCAGTTTTCATTGGCTTTTTCGACTTCTCTATTCTTTCGCTTTGTTTTCATTTTCTCAACAAATCGGTCTTTCCAAAGACTGTATTGGTTGTCAGGTACAGTCCAAGTAGTTTCTAAGCAAAACTTTCACGATGTAAATAATTTTAGAGAGAAAAAAGCAAACTCATTATTATAACATATAGGCAGAAATTATTTTGATTTCTATTAGAGGTATAGTGAGTCAAATGAAGATCGAAAGCTATTCTATTCGGCAACATTCGGAGGTTCTATTCGTTCTTAGTATGCTCACCATGGCATAGATGCATTCCTGAATGTCAAACTTTGATGATGTACAGCTAGGTGCTTATCTATCAGGTATGGTCTCTATCAAATCACGAAAGTGTTCGACATCTCTATCCACAATCCCGGCTTATGCGTTGATTACCGCTATCCCGAAAGAGTACTTCCCAGTAGGGCAAATCATCTTTCAATCCATCAAACTCGAAGAGGTTCACCACTGAGAACTGGTAAGGCACTGGTCTAGCTATTACTGCATAGTAAACTATTATCTAGAATTGGAACTTCATCAGTACAGCACCGTGAGTAACAAACTGCAAAAGAGTTTGACATTTTTGAAGAGTAACTAGTAGATATTACCAAAACGCCGATGTTTACCACCATTCTGAAGGGGAGCAGTTCACAAGATGATAAATAACCGTTCGCTCCACATATTTTGAAGAATGTCTTTAAGGACGACTTGATAGCGCGCTGATACGCTAATCTTGAGGCTCAATTGCGAATACTTACTTACTTGACACTTGAACGGCTCGTCTTCACTGGTTGTGCGGGCCCTGGCATAATCATCATTTTTCGGAGATTTGCTGGTTAAGCTATTGCGCTTCCCTGGAATCCCGAAAGCAACTTGGCCAAAGTATGCGCCGGATCGTCACCACCACAGGCAACCGCAGCTCTTATGGATCAGCGGGGAATTCGCTACCATGCGACTTTAATACCAGGACGGTGGTGGATTCTGGTATTGGTTTAATCTTAGTTAGGCTTCCAGTTGGGAACGCTGGACTCCTTCTGAGCACTGAAAACCCTGGCAGAGGATGAATTCCTCGCTGTACATAGCAGTCCGACACCCAGGAATACCTCCCATCCACGATGAAGCATTACTTCGTTTTCATTGAGGTGCTATCACTGATAAGTGCTTAGACTGGAACTTGACTGTAGGTTAAGGCTTAAGACCAGCTCTAGACTTATGCTCAGCGTTAGGAGTGATAGCACTTGCAACAATGGCTTAAACTCACCGCAGACAGTCCTGGACAACAATCGTATCGTCATTCATAATTTCGACAATATCATTCTCATCCGGCATGCATCTAAAAAAATCGGCAAGCTTTGGATATACTCTATATGTTTACTGGATAGCAATACATAGACGTAATCAACCTGACCTAGCAGTTCCTTCCACAGATGAGATTGCTTGCACCTTAGCTCCACATGTCATTTTGTAGTGCGAGGTAAACTGCGCATCATATTCGTTGAATTTCGGAACATCGGAAGATTTAACGTTGACTGCTGCGAGCTTATCCTTAAGATCATTAGGATCACAATACTTTCAATAAAGTAAACAACCACTGCGAAGACTATCACACCACTGGGGGTGAATTTGCTGCCTAATCCAGCGCCTTTTTTGTCGACGTTTTATCTCCTCATACTAGCCATCTAACCTTTGATCGTCTTCTGTTTTATTTTTATTCTTAATCTGCTATTCGTTCACAAACCATGGACAGGTACTCTATGGAATTCCAAGAAAGATTCTTCATTTAAAAGTTTTCGTTTTTCTTACATGTTGCACTTGTAAAGCACGCGATGATGTCCTATTTTCATTGAGCGGAAAGCTAGAGATCCAGAATCAGTCGTTGATTGGTTGTGGAGTGATTAACATCGTGATCAGCTTTGTCTCACATTCAACCAGTAAATCGTAGATGATTCCGTCGCTTATCACAATGTTTAGGATGCCTTATCACAGTGTTTAGAGTTGCCTTCTAGGACATAAGGGTGTTTGGTTCGATCTTCTGCTCCTAAAAAACCAGGTCATCCATCTTCTTGAAGTCGGTTAGTTGAGGTATCACTCGTCAAGAAAATCTAAAAACACCGACCTAATATGTTGCTTGCCCTTCGCAGCGGCTTCATAGGTCAACTACACGTTTAACCACATCCATAATGCTACAAATCGAGTTAAATGCATAGTGCATTCTTCAAGGAATTGTCAATACCAAACGCATTAAGCCTTGCTCAAATATATCTTGTTGTGATTACGATAGAGTGGTTTTCAATTTCTAGTCTGCTTTCATGAAGATGCATAGTTTCGCTCTTATTCTATGGCTTCCATAAACACGACATCATTTCTAGGATAACCATCTACTGGTCGGCTACAAAAAGTCTAATGAAGACTTTCTTTGAGAAGTAGTGTAGTTCTTTTTAAGAGTTTCGCTGTGATATTGCTCTAAAGTAGTGATTTCAGCTTTACCGGTTCTATTCCAACCGATATGTATCCGGTCAGCTTGTCTGGGTTGCTGATAGTGATAACTACATAGTTGTTAGATTCTTTAATCGTGTACTGTTATGAGGAGAGGTCGTTTATGTTCGTAGTGTTGATTATTCCTGTTTTTATTCAGTCGTAGTACTCATCAAATTATTCTGTGACTGCTGCATTTTCACCAAATTTTGCCACCCAGCTATTCATCAGCTACAAAATTGTCTCACGTTTTAGCTCAACTTGAAGTTCAGAGGCGCTTAGAAGTGAGCCAATAATAGTGCAGTAAGGATTCGTTCGTGCATTTTACTGAACCATTTAGTTATATCTTGAAGAAGTGGAACAATGAACTAAGCTAAATCGTAGCCCTTTGAACGGTTTTACGTGTTCTGCATTGATCTTGTTCTTCAACTTTCATAATAAGTGTCAATAAACCAACTTACGTTAAATTTTTGAGGAGGCGGCTTTATTGGCACTGAATTTCTCTTTGAATGTTCGTTAGATTGCTGTTGCGAACCGCTGGTGTCGGGTGCCGGTTTTTCCGGTGGTTCTGCATCTTCACTGTCCTGGGCGTGCACGTTGTTGACCTATACTACGAATTGTATCTAATGATCGAATATAAAGCAATTCGTTACGTCAGTAACGTTTTACGCCAGTTACGTTAATATGTAATTCGCTATAGCTCGACTTACTATATTGATTATGCACAGATAAAGCAGAACAATCTTTGGCTGCATACTGTCGTCAAAGCTGATGCAAATATGCCGTCCCTACCCGATCTTCTTTCTTAAATATCCACGATGCTATCATAATATTATCGCAATATGGAGGTTTATCAGCTAACCATTTATTCGATGGAGTGATCGAAGTGAGAGGGGTGGTTGCAAATTAGCATTTGCGAAAACACGGCTTGAACAGATATTCAGTCATCTTGTAAAACCAAGATTCTCAATCACCATCAACATTTGGTAGTGACAATTTTACCAATAAACATGAAGCTATTTATTGTGCGAGTGCAAATTTGTGTGTTAAGCCTTATCTGCTAAGGTTATGAAAGTGTTTGGCTGAGTAATTTGAATGTCAACGTGAACTTTCCAGACTCTGGAGAAGGCGAAAGCGCCAAGTCAGCCATTGTGTGCTAATAAATTCTGTAGTACCAACCTCGTCTCTGCTCACTTAAGAAAAACAGTGAGTGACCAATAAAAGTTTAAAAATTAAAGTTTGGCCTTGTGGGACTGGGCTTTAAGGGTTTTCATATCTTAAAGATTTATGTGATTAATTTCTCTAGTTCGTTTTCGTGCGTATAGCTTTGCTCGCTCAAACAGAACTCTCTTTGTACTTTTATTTTTCAAGGAAAATGTTTTGTTTGGTAGTAGCTTTTTGTACATTTTGCCTGTAAATCCGCTGTCATAGTGAACGGTGTCAATTCCTTAAGAGATTTAGCAAAGATATTGCGCAACCTTTTCTTTGGATTCGATTCTACACCTTTCTTTCGATTTTGATTGCTGTTTCAAGTGATTTCTGCGATATCACTGACTTCGAGAAAGTGTGGTTTTCCCGTAAGTTTTAGGGTTTCGAGGATTCGCATTGTTGACGGGTCCACGAAATCATTAATGAATCGGCCTCAATTGCTCACACCAATGCAATAATGACAGGGGACTGCGTAACATGAATACCTGGAAAGCGTCGAGAACAGGTATCCAAATATCCAAAGGCAAACAACTTTGCCAACAATTAACAAGATTTTGAAGTAAAGCCAAACCTCGCCATAAATGAATGGACGACGGTTGTAACACAAACAAACGAGTGGAGGAAGTGCAGGAATTCCATCTATTGCATAAGATCTTATGCATGTGAAAAGTTTCTTGCCGGCTAGTCAAAAGGAAATTTGATGCATTGCAGATGGTGGAAAGCAGATTCAACGACGGTGAAAATAGCTTGTGCATAAAGTAGAAACGACGATCAGAAAAAGTTGTATTCAACGGAAGAAGCATCTGTCGTTAGTGATCAATGTCCATCATAGTCGCATAATAATTTTGCATAGTAATTGCAGATTATATCCAGCATTTCGTCGACGAAAAAGGTTTTAAGCAATTGGCTGGAAATTATATGCAAGAAGAACTGGTGTTGTTCCCAACAAGTACCTTGGATGTTCGATTTCGCCAAATTTCGTTGAACTGCCTTTTAGCTTTTACTTTCTGGGTCCTGCAAAATTAATCATACCAACCTCATAGCAATAGTGGTGCGATGTTCTTCAAGCAGATAATTGATAGGTTTTTTTTATATTAGAATACTTTAATTATTCGGTGGAAAAAGGCTAAAGTATTAGTGGAGATCAAACTTTTCAATGTGGTGGGTTAACTACGGTCAAATGTAGTTCTACGCTATAGTGAACAGAAAGGCTACTCACCTCGATGCTACGAGTGGGACTGACCCACACGTAGTTCACGTTGAGTCGCGAGCAAGGCACGCCCCGGAGTCAAAATATTATTTTGAAATAGGGCGCCTGGTCACGAGTGATAGTGAGGCATTCATCTTTCCGGTCCGAAATTTATCCGAAACGCCTCAAGAGTTTTGCGCGTTGATGTTTTCGATTCCTGCGCTAGGATCCGCACAGTCACTTCAAAATCATCGCTATTGTGCTTTTGTGCCCTATGTGTACCCAGAGAAGTGCTTTGACGACTTTTAACTTTCCCATCTAGGTGTTTCTTTTATGCGGACACAAAGCGGTCTACCCGTTCCCGCAATATATTTTTTACCATATGCGTTACATGAGATCAAGTATATTGTACCTTAACTCATGCAATTCTCGTCTCTCCCGTTAAGGCAGATCATACAGTTTTCTGAGCTGCACAAACGATCATAGAGACGGTTTCGAACTAACTGACGCGTAGGGTATTGGGTGTGATGTCAATAGTCGTCACATAATTTTCAAGACCGCTTTTTCTTAAGCACTTCTTAATGGCGTAACTTACTTCATTTGATATGAAGGGCAGCTTAAGGAGGATCCTACTTTCGTCTGAAATATTATTTTGGGAAACTACCCATCGTTCTCCTCTAACCCGAGTGACTTCTACTTCGTAGCCATTGGAAATGGCTATTTTTCGTGCCAGGTTTTGCGATTCCTTCCTTTCCTCTTCTCCTGTACACACATTTTTAGCACTACGGTACATGTTTTTGACAAGTGCTTTTTTCATGTGTGAAGGATGAGAGGATAGTCAGTGGACTAGAATGCTATTACTACTTGGCTTGCGATACCATTTTGTTACATAGCCACTTACTGAGAGCTTTATTTGGATGTTTAAGAATGGAAGCCAGTTCTCGGTAGCTTTTTCTCGTGTAAATTTTATATACTCTGACTGTCGGTTTAATAATTCGAAGCACTCATCCATCTGTTCTTGTGTAGAGCAGACGATGAAGCCGTCGTCTATGTATCAACAGTAGAGTAAGGGTCGGCGATCGAGAACTGGAGCTTCCACCTTAGACATGAAAGCGATGGCAAGGCTTGGTGCTAAACGCTGCCCATTAGCCAACCCTCTAATTTGTGCAAAATATTTTTCAGACCACCTGAATATTGAACAAAAAAACACTGCTTTAAGAGAGTCATTAATTGCGCAATTGATAAGCCGTACATCTTTTAATTTTCTTTTCATGTTCTACGAGAAACTCGAGAATGGCTTGAATTGCGGAGTCATTGGACACGTTGGTATAAAGTGAACTAACATCGAATGACTCCATTATATGCGTGCTGTTTGGTTGCGCGCGCCTTAGGTGATCTAGAAATATTTTGGTGTTAGGTAGATGGGTTGGAATGAATTTTAGGAGCTGGGTTAGGACAAGGTTTAGGAACCACGTTATTATATCCGTTGGCCCGCCTATACAACTGATGATAGGTCTAACTTTATATGATGATGGGTTCATTGACGTAATATCATCAGTTGAAGTAAGCTTATGTGTTTTAATAAACAAGTAAAGGACAGGGCAAATCGGGTGTTCGTTCTTAAGTCGAGAAATAACTGAAGGCTCTAAACCCGCGGCCTTTGCCGTGCTGACCCATTCTTGATTTAATTTTCGGTATTGGTTTCTGTATTACTTTTCAGAGGATGTTCAATAAAGAGAAACATCATTGAGGTGCTCCTCTGTTATCCTAATATCCAACTGACTAGGAAGAACTACAAATTCTCCGCCTTTATCACTAATAGAAAGTCTAACAGATTTTGAATTCAAAAGCTCTCTAACCTGGCGCATACATTTCTGTTGGTATGTGAGGTCGGAGCTTCTTTTTCGTTTTTGGTAGTGATTAAGTATGCGGAGAATTTCGTCCGAAAATAAACGAAATGTAGGGTCAATATCGCTATTTGGTAGCTCATGTTTAAAGAAAGTTCGAGGAAAGGGTATTGGTGGTAGTTCCCCCTTAATACTACTTTGCCTAACCTTTCTAGCCTAACCGTGTAACGTAGCCGATCTTGAAGTTCATGTAGACTACACGTGATCCTGTGCAGGATTGGTTTAGAAATGGGTTGACTAGGTGCAAAACTCGGACCCAATTCTAACAAGGAACGCAGATTTTTCGGAAGCGTTATACCTCCTAGCACAGTAACTCTGGATGTTGTTGGTGCGCAGTCTATTTCAGGGCTTCTACTTGGTACTTGACCAGCGGTGGTCCTTTGATTTGACCTTTTTGAGCGGGGTGATAGATCCTCAAACTTTTTCTTAACTTGCTCTTAATATCACACCGAATCTTTTCGCATACCAATTTGGACCCAGCCACTATTCTCCTCCAAAGATTTCTCTCCAAATGCTGAGCACAATGGTTTTCTTTGTACACACATTTGTTTAATAGTGAAACATTTCGTTTTGTGTGTACCGCAATGAAATGCGTCGTAGTTTCATTTCGATGCTCAGCATTTGCTGAGGGCTCTCCGGTAAGCCGCATACTTCGTATAATTTCCTACGTTTTATAAAGTTAGGAATAATTCGATGTTTTAAGCAGCAGCGTAGAAAGTGGGTCTTCTGTCGCATTAAGACGATTTTCTGTCTTAATCACAATACGTCATAAAATTATGTAACGATTATTGACATCCCACCCAATACCCTACGCCGCCAGTTAGTTCGAAACCGTCTCTATGATCGTTTGTGCAGCTCAGAAAACTGTATGATCTGCCTTAACGGGAGGGACGGGAATTGCATGAGTTCAGGTACTTGATCTCATATAACGCATATGGTGAAAAATATATTGGGGGAACGGGTAGACCGCTTTGTGTCAGCATAAAAGAAACACCTAGATGGGAATGTTAAAAGTCGTCAAAGCACTTTTCTGGGTACACATAGGGCACAAAAGCACAATGGCGATGATTTTGAAGTGACTGTGCCGATCCTAGCGCAGGAATCGAAAACATCGACGCGCAAAACTCTTGAGGCGTTTCGGATAAATTTCAAAAACCCAAAGATGAACTATCACTCGTGACCAGGCGCCCTATTTCAAAATGGTATTTTGACCCCTGGATGTGCATCGCTGGCGACCCCACGTGAACAACGTGTGGGCCAGTCCCACACGTAATATCACGGTGAGTGGCCTTTCTGTTCAATATGGCGTCTATTTAAAATTGTGATCTTCATTAATACTTTAGTCTTTTTTCTCCACCGAATAATTAAAGTATTCTTGTATAGAATACGTCCAGACTCTGAGGAAGGCGAAATCGCCGAAACGTTAGTCATCGACCAACAGGAGCAACAG